ACTATTACTCCTGTTTTATATCTGTACTATGGCAATTTACATTTCAATATATTTCTAAGAATATAGTTATTGTCTTGTTCATAATTTTAGGACACAACAGAAGGGAGCACCGTTGCGGGTTCTGTCCAGCTTAGCCTCTGGCAAGATATAGTTTTTATCGATCTATCTCATGTCGAGGAGATATCTACGATCATGTGTACAGCCTAAACCCTTCCAACTGTCAGTCACCATCCCGCTTCGAGGAGTATTCTATCATTTTGCTGTTATTTACACCCTTATTGTCTTCACTCGGTGACTGAAGTGGAGGGAGTGTAAAGTGGTTATCTGGTTTAAGCATGAGTAGCTATTTTTCCACGTCGTTGCCTAGCGCTGCTTGTGAGATACCACCGTGCAGCTTCCCTCTGCTAGATTGTTTATTATAACTTTAATAGTGAGCAATATTTCTCGACATTTTATGAGGCCTTCTTTTAATCCGGAAGTTGACCACCAGTACCGAATTCGTATTGTGTTGCTCTACGTATGATAGCCAGTACTAGAAAAATATGGCGGTGATACAGGTGCTAGCTTTATACGTGTCATTAAATATTACAAAATTAGCATATGTTACTTTAGCAGCTGATTTACTCCTGTTCTGCTGCTGCAAGTCTCGTAGGACAGAAAAAAAGACGGAAAGATACTATGCTTTAAATATTGTTTTTCCTCCGTTTGATCCTAATTTCATTCATAAAGTTCGTTTATTCGGCTCAGATATTGTTCTCTGCGTAATATTCTGCAATACAGTATACTAACATGTTACTCTAACATGATATAGTGTATCATGTAGTACAGTAGTTACTCTTTGTCCTATGATGTGGTTTATTATACTCCGTGCTATTGCAGCTAGTGATATTATTTTTTAGAGGTAGACTTAGAGGGACAAGGATAATCATCCTCATGATTAGTGCTTAGTTCGTTTCGTTTTTCGCTATCAGTGGAATAATGGGATAGTGGGCAGTGTTTTTCTACCCTGGTTTGTGAATAACATTTGTAAACGGATGTCAAATTCAAATTCCATAACTGATGAGAATTTTCTCCACTGATAGCCACGGCGGAGCTAAAGAGTTTGGAAGTATCTTTTTCAGATAATCGCATAACATGGTCAGACTCTTCATGTGATAAAACTATAGAACACTGCTCAAAAATGGATACCGAAAAATAATATTACGTTCTCGAAAATTTACATTCTTTCATGTTTAGTGTATCATTTTTGCTTTTTTGTCTGGACAAATGTGGAACCATATACGAGGCCCGCCGTTTATTCATCGCAATGAAAGAACTGGCCGTCTTGTAAGCAGTATTTGATATTATACAGTTTAACATCATCCCGTTTCTTTCTTATGTGCTTAGAACTATTTCTCGTCCAGCTCACAAATGCAGTTCATCGTTGAAACCTATGTTGTGATGCTAATATGTAAGTATAGGCACGGATGTTTCAGCTTAACGTGTTTTTTAGACGCTGCTATAACCGTCGGTTTCATAATGATGAACGAAGCGGTTGATATGAAGGGAGATCCGATGCGTAAAAGAGGTACAGACGGTAAAATGTTATTACCGTAAACCGCCAATGGTTTTGAATTGCAGTGGTGGCCATCATTGGACTGCTGTTGGTAGCGTTCTTCTTCAGTTTCCTGCTATCGCTCTTTCGGTCCAAGTATCACGGGTATCCTTACAGGTACGTTTCTACTGTTCGATCATCGTTGTTCAATGTGAACGCTTTTAGTTTTCTTTTCTAAAACTCGTCGCGGCATTCAGCAACAAACAGCAATATGACACGGTTCGATTTTTCTTTGACTGTTGTTGTTTTCGTGAAATAAATTTTGTTTGGTTTGTTGTATCTTTTTTTCATCGCCTACTTTCCATATATCAGAATTTTAAAATCAGTCCAAACGTGAGAAGTGTATATTCTATTTTTCTCAGATGTTTGTTTGCAGTGAAGAGGACTCTTTCAAGAAATGCATGTGTATCCCAGGTAACTTTGCTTTGTTTCCAGCTGAGTCATTCATTTCAACAGATGACTGTAATAAGTCTTGATTGTAGAATCGATACTAATTGTTGTTTTTAAATTCGGTCTCTGTTCTCTGTCTCGCAACATGGTAATTATTATTATTTGATTGAACTAAATTCAGTTTCCTGATCGATAAAAAGTCTTTTCACAGTCGGTGCAGTAATCATTGTATAATATGAGATTGCGAAACTTTAAATTAGATAAATATTGCAGTCTTTACTTTTATCAGCAACTAAAGATTATAATGAAAGTACACAAATATCCTTTAATGATCTTTAGGCCTAGACTGTGTTAACTTGCATTCAAGGTTACCGTCCCGTCCCCCTCCCACAGCTCAAATACGGGTGTAAATGGACGCATTTGCAATGAACATGTACCGTTTTAGGTATTTATGTTTCTTCATTGCTGAGGTCTTTTAAGAAGAAGTTATTGAACATGCATTTCAGATTACATTGGATTTATCTTCAAGAAATATTTTCATATAAAAATGTGTAAAAATATTTTCAGAAATGTGCAAACATACTGTAAGTACAGTTTGAAGTTAATGAACGGCGCATGAGGTTATACACAAATTGACACTGAGCACCACAAATTGACATCCCATTCAAGAACAGAAATAGATATTTACAAATGTTAGTCAACGAAAAACAATGCATAACAGAGGCAAGAAGATGTTGAATTTTCCAGCCCCCATCAGAACTGTTACAGCTTTTACCGCTGCTAATATTTTTCTTTTCTGGGAGCGATCAAGCACTTACCAGTGACAGGGATAGTGGATGTGTTGTAAATCGCAGTCTAACATTTGCACAACTGGAAATGTGACCGACGGCTTGGATTGTTTGATAGGCGCATTTTAGGTACGGATGATGAGCTCGATCGAGCATTATTATGTTTTAGTAAAAAGATTACCAACTTGTACGGCAGCATGCATACATATGGTCACGTTTTCAGTAAATCTCTTCTGAACTGTGTTTCATACAGCCTCTTTTATCCTTTTGTCGCACGATAAAGAAACTGGATGCAGTGCTGCAATAGACAGCGCTTTTCTTTGCACTTTAGATGTACAGCCTTGAATTTTTAGATTATTAAAGTTTCTGAGAGACGTCTAGTTTCCTTGAGCAAGGAATTCATTCCACTGTATGACGGTGCAATGGTCAAGAAATTGGTAGCACGTCGATGACCTGAGAACAATAGGTATTGTTTGGTGGTAGGTGTAATCATGTCACGCCTTTTCAGCATTATAGTTAGGTTTTCTTATGATTGGAGGTTTGTTACGTCAGTTCACCCTGACACGTCGGTAACGGATTAAACTTTACCTCAACGTATTGTAAAAAAAATGAACCGAGTGGATGTCAGCATTCCTTTGCGGTTCTGTAACGTGGAATAACAATCAATTTTGTTTTGCGTTTTATGGCCTTAACCTTTGCTTAGTTTACTGGAATGGACGCTCGTTTTATACCTCTGCTCAAATCGTGTTCAACGAAAGTTTAGGCGAAAGGCTGTGCAAGAACGACCCTGATTACAAGGCGGGTGTCGGAACGTACGTCACTCACGGTTGCATCTATGCGTCTTTGGCCGGTTTTGTCAACATCACCAAGGACGAAAATGGAGTCGTAAGGATTGGCTTTGTTCTTTGCCATCGACACTTTCGTTTCTGCCTTTTGTAGAAAGAAGTGCAGGTCAGTCAAAGGACGAGCAGCCAGAGCGTTTGCATTCCATTCCTTGGAGCTGTGGTGACCTGCAGGGTGGGAGAGTTGTAGTATCGCGGCGGCGTTACGTTGTTATGTTTGATGTTATAGGTAACCGTGGTGACATCCAGATTCATCAAGTGTGACATCCTCTGTGTCGAACGGTCGATTCTTCCCCATACGTTCTCTGGCTTGCTCAGGTGTAGTATATTTTTCAATTAATAAATTAAATGAGCTTTTTGTTAGAACACAATTTATTGCACCTGTAATTAAAAATTTTGACAACAACAATTCATTTATCCTTTTTCGTAATTAACGGAACAATTCCTCTGGCCTCTACGATGACGTTCGTTTGTCTCGTACGATTTGTCGCCACAAGCTTCCGTGTATCTCTTTCAGCTCGTCGTCACATCTGAACCTAGGTTTTTGAATTTGAAGCTTGCAGCCCCTTTGGTACCAGTCTGTCACTACTGAAGTTCATCCGTTACTTATCACTCTTACGGTCTCTTCCGCCACAGTCTGACTCCAAATGCACCCAGGGGAGTGAGGGACATTTTGGTTTTTACTTTACATTCCATTCGATCTTGAAAAATGGTTTCAGCAACTCTCCACGCT